CAGTTTAGTTTTAGAAAAAGTTGTACGGCACTTGCAGCACAATAAGGTCATATAAGTGCCGACAATTAGAAGTGTTACAAGAGAGTTGCAAACACAAACAAGGAGGAGAGATAAGGACGATAGATGTTTGATAGAAAAAAAGGAGCAAGCCACACCAGAGCACCCGCAACCACTCATTACGGCACTTGCAATACCATTAGGTCATATACGCAACAGTGATTAAAGGTGTTACAAGAGAGTAACAAACGTAAAAATAGAAGGACGAGATATAAGGAGGATAGACGTTTGATAAGAAAAAAGGAACAAATTACGCCAGAGCACCCGCCAACCAGCCACCAAAAAAAAAAAAAAAAGGATTGTAATGGTAGTACAGCCCCCTTCCCACCCCACCCTCAAGTTAAACACAATTCATATCACTTGAACTTTGTTAGGGTCAATCCGGGTTGAGTGGAATGCAAGGTTCCAGAAAACAGATGCAGACAATCCATGAAATAATTTACGCATGCGGGGATCGAATCTATTTCTCGAGCGTGCAATGAACCCCCCCCCCCCCCCAACCAAATCTAACACAGTTTAGACCATGTTAGATCAGGTATTTCTCATTTGCAGCAAAACTCAAAATAAACTATTTAGTTGTAGTAAACATTGGCACAGTATAAAAATGGCCGTTAACACCGGAGCAGGATGGGACTACTGTGCGAGCTAAAAATAGTGGTGCAACGTATTGTCAAATATTTCCTCAACTATAGAACGTAAAGTTTGCGGCGTTTGAACAACGACTCGTATCAATTTGTCTGAACAGATCAATTTGTTTTAAACACCTGTTAGCTGTAATCTGAAAAATTCCTTGATACACACTTATAAAAAATCCACACACGCAAGCAAATACGCAAACAAGCACGCACGCTTGCAAGCAAACAGACAGAAAAACAGACAGACAGACAGACAGACAGACAGACAGACAGACAGACAGACAGACAGACAGAGAGACAGACAGACAGACAGACAGACGGATGTTCAGTAATACATTTCTATTCTTGTGTGCGAAGAAGACTTGCATTGTAAGTGGTGTTTTGGGTACTCTCATCTTTTCTCTGTGAATAAAAAAAGGGAGTTGGACAAAAATAAAAACAATATTATATCAAGGGAGATTGTTCCAACCTTCAACACAGTGAGTGAGTCCTTTGTTCGCAGTTATGTACAACGGGAATTTGCCACATGAGTTCATGGCATTGGGGTCAAAGCCAGGGCATGCGTAAATCGCTTGCATGACCTCGAGGTGCCCACGTTGCGCCGCACGCGTGAAGGCCGTCTCATGATCCCATACAGCGTTGACATCTGCTCCCAACTTGACCAGCTCTATCGCCTCCCGATCCTTGTCATTCATGATAGCCTGGTGAAGGTCTTCAGTCAAGTCCATGCGGTGTTGTCGGATAATGCATCTGGTTAACTGAGAGGGGAAAGGGAGACCTAACAGACGATGGGAACAAGGCAAATATAGAAACCTAACTTGGAACCAGAACAGCTCAGGCATTTAGACTGAGAGTGGCAAGAGACAGAGTGTTTTACTGCAGAAAAGTAGGAGAAACAACGTCCAACTACTGGAAAAGTGAAGAAGAAGAAGAAGAAGAAGAAGAAGAAGAAGAAGAAAAGAAGAAGAAGAAGAAGAAGAAAAGAAGAAGAAGAAGAAGAAGAAGAAGAAGAAGAAGAAGAAGAAGAAGAAGAAGAAGAAGAAGAAGAAGAAGAAGAAGAAGAA